AGGCGAGTGGTGACCGGTACATCATGTGGTGGTGGGTCAGGTGAGTGGTGACTAGTACATCATGTGGTGGGTCAGGTGAGTGGTGACTGGTACATCATGTGGTAATGGGTCAGGTGAATGGTGACTGGTACATCATGTGGTGGGTCAGCTGAGCGCTGACTGGTACATCATGTGGTAGGTCAGGTGAGTGGTGACTGGTACATCATGTGGTGGATCAGGTGAGTGGTGACTGGTACATCATGTGGTGGGTCAGGTGAGTGGTGTCTGGTACATGTGGTGAGTCAGGTGAGTGGTGACTGGTACATCATGTGGTGGGTCAGGTGAGTGGTGACTGGTACATCATGTGCTGGGTCACGTGAATGGTGTCTGGTACATCATGTGGTGGGTCAGGTGAGTTGCGACTGATACATCATATGGTGGGTAAGGTGAGTGGTAACTGGTAAGCACTGGCTAGCTTCACTGTGTGTAGTCTCCTGCTCTCAAGGCCACTTTGGGGCTTCTGATCCCAAATTTTTTATCTGATCATCCCTTCCTTGGATCGAACCTAATTATCTATCCTTCCTTAGGCGCTGTATATAACCCCTACAGGTTTAATACTTCCCAATGAATAAAATAATGTGTTTCGTTGCTACTTCCTACAGGCTGGGTATGGTGGCACTACCACATAAAGGAAGGGTATGATGACACTACCACTCATAGCATGGGTATGGTGGCACTACCACATAAAGGAAGGGTATGATGACACTACCACTCATAGCATGGGTATGGTGGCACTACCACATAAAGGATGGGTATGATGACAGTACCACTCATAGGATGAATATGGTAACACTACCACATAAAGAATGGGTATGATGACACTACCATACAAAGGACAGGTATGGTGACACTACCACTCACAGGATGGGTATGGTGACACTACCATACAAAAGATGGGTATGGTGACAGTACCACCCACAGGATGGATATGAAAACTACCATACAAAGGATGGGTATGGTGACATTACCACACGCAGAATGGGTATTAGTAATCCTCATAGATTAATTTTAAGTATTAAAGCACCTTTGATAGTGTACAGTTGACATGCAGCGTTAATAATCATCGTGTAGCAGATAAGCTCTAAACCCAATTAACCGACAAATATATCTGCTGAAAAATAAAGATGCATATTTTAACTAAAGTGTAGATTGTTGTCAACTAATATTTTGTAGGCGACAGTATTTTTTAATGTGTTGATGTGAAACATTGACTATCTCACTCAGCTTTAATGCTGGTTGTTTTAGGTCCAACGCTTAGCTTGGCTGGGCACCAGAGTATTGTCCAGTCTGGTATGGTGTGTATAGTAATTTAAAACTTATACTGTATTCACTTGTTGGTAGCTGCAGGGGTTGACAGGCAGCTTCAGCCTCTCATCTGCTTTAAGGTTAGGTTAGGTAAGGTTCGTCAGGAAACGGGACAGGTGTTTTCTGATGCGGGTCTTAGCTGATGACCTGCTGTTGGAACTTTTGGTCATCTGATCGAGGCCTTCCGCTAGCTTACTGGTCCACCCCTTTAAATATTATGGTCATTGTTATAACCATTTAGTGAGCATCTGCTTTAAGTTTACTTAGGCACAGGTACACAGTTATGATACATAGTGTAAATTACCTAGGATAACCCAATAAAGTCAAAGTAACATTATTTCCATTGGGGTAGTTCTCAACAGGTATCATTTATCCACCACAACAATATTTCATGCTGGTAAAGTACTTTTGGTCCAAAGAATTGGCATAACACTTGCTTGTATTTCAGAACAATTGATTACTTCCCATTTTCCAGGCGCTGTGCTGTCCTTACAGGTTCATTTCTTACAAATCGTTATAATAGAAATAATTACCCCTCACTGCTCCCAGTGCAGAACCTCAAGAGACCCAGGAGCTAGTGGTCAACCGTGCTTAATAGTGGCAGTTCTTTCGTGGAAGAAGGGGTAAGAGATGAGAGTGGCGCCTGTAACTTATTAGTAATTATTTGAAGCATCCTGTTATTAGGTAAGTTTATTCAGGTATGAGTACACATTGATACAGTTACATAAATGATCATACATAGCAGCATTTGTGTATATTACGTAGGATAACCAAAAAAAGTCAAAGTGACTTTTGGGGTCCTTGATTTATTTCCATTTGTGTCCTTGATTTCCATTGGGTCCTTGATTTATTTCCATTGGGTCCTTGATTTATTTCCATTGGTGTCCTTGATTTAGTTCTATTGGAATCCTTGATTGATTTTCATAGGTGTTATTGATTTCCATCGGTGTCCTTGATTTATTTCCATTGGGGTCCTTGATTTATTTTCATCGGGGTCCTTTATTTATTTCCATCGGGGTCCTTGACTTATTTCCACTAGAGTCCTTGACTTATTTCCATTGGGGCCCTTGACTTATTTCTTGGGATTCTTAAGTGGGATGGTAAACTTCCCCAGCTATTGTGCCTCTCTTTTTCTAGATCTTCTGTGGATTAGGCCGAGTGCTGTTACAACAATGCCTCGCCATCTTTTCAGTACCAGAAAGTTAGGGAGACAGGGACAGCTAGTGGTTTTCCCAAGGTCTGGAGGCAAAAGTTCTCGCTTTAGACGGTGAGTGTTCGAGTTGCATTCCCGGCGAAGATAAGATTTCGTTCGGATTTTTAACCCTGGAGGGTTAGCCACCCAGGATAACCCAAGAAAGTCAGTGCGTCATCGAGGACTGTCTAACTTATTTCCATTGGGGTCCTTAATCTTGTCCCCCAGGATGCGACCCACACCAGTCGACTAACACCCAGGTACCTATTTGCTGCTAGGTGAACAGGACAATAGGTGTAAGGAAACGTGTCGAAATGCTTCCATCCGCCGGGAATCGAACCTGGGCCCTCCGTGTGTGAAGCGGGAGCTTTAGCCACCAGGCCACCGGGCCACTAGTGGAAACATCGGAACTGTTTCCTTACACTGGTTGTCCATGTTCACCCATCAGTAAAATGAGTACCTGGGTGTTAGTGGACTGGTGTGGGTGGCATCCTGGGACAAAGCTGACCTAATTAGAAGGAAATGCTCAGCATAACAAGCGGCTTTCTATATAGTAGTATGTCATTGATGTCAGCTATGGTCTGTATACCTTGTACATGTACTGGTAGTAAATAAAGATATTAATATTATTATTATGAAGCTCTCAGGCAACGAGTGATCCTTTTCCTTGTACCTGTAAATTTATTTAGGTATTGGTTCGTAGAAGTACAGGTTATGTTAAGTAAGGTTCGTCAGGAAACAGGGCAAGTGTTTCCTGACGCGGGTCTTAGTCAGATGATGATCCGCCGTTGGAGAGTTTGGTCATCTGGCCGAGTCCTTCCACTGGCTTACTGTTCCACCCCTTTAAAAATTATGGTCAGTTATAACTATTTAGTTAGTGATACGTACAGTTATCATACCTAGTAATATATGTGTAAATTACCTAAGATAAGATTTGTTCGGATTTTCAACCCGGAGGGTTAGCCACCCAGGTTAGCCCAAGAAAGTCAAGTGTTTCATCGAGGACTATCTGTCTTATTTCGATTAGGGTCCTTTAATCTTGCTCCCCCCCCAAATGCTACCCACTCCAGTCGACTAACACCCAGGTGAACAGGGTGTCGGGGGTCGAGCCACGTGCGAGGCCAGAGTGTCGCCAAGTAAACCACGGGACAAAAGTAACTTATTTCCACACAATTTCCTAAGGCAGATTCCCATGTTACATTTGATGGGGAACTTCAACAAGTTGTACATAATTAGTGGTGCTTGATGGATAATGGTTAAAGTTGTACAGAGCAACCACTGAAGAGCCTACATCACAGTTGGGGTGGGGAGAGTGTACCATACTACACTTTTATTAGTCGGATGACAGACGGCAGGTATCAGCTGACTTAATCTGCAAGATTCATTAATAGTTAACACTAAGATTCAAATCGAAAAGCTATTTGAAAAACTCCTGCAGTGGTAGTGACCGAATTCTGAATTCATAAAAGCAATGTATTACCCATATAAAACGTTGAACAAATGTGAAAATACGGTCCTGAGCTGCCTGGCTGAAGTAAGATATACCAGCATTGTAATTTTCAAGTTTATCAGGAAGTATTTTTCACTTATTGCAGGGAGACAGATATTCAAACTTGTTAAATATACTTTGCAAATAGGGACTTACACAAGTCAATAACAAAACAACCATTCTTTGAGGTAAATACACCAGTTCCGAAAGTTTGAAGCCAGTCAGAATAGCCATTTTCTGGTTATCGCACAGGAACCTATCATTTATTATTTGTTAATAATATTGCTAAATTGACGATCTTGAAGTTACACAGCTGGAAACTGTTCTTAATTTTCCTCTTTGTTACCTGATTAGGAGAGAAAAAAAATATAAATAAGATTAGAAAGTTGGTAGTTAAACAACCCAGTTGAGTCAATCTGAACCTTCCTCCGTGTACAATACACTAATTTGGAAAGTTTGAAGCCGATCAGAAGAGGCGTTCTCGAGTTACAGTCTGAAAGGAAAAAGAAAAAAAGAATTCCTATTACCCCTAAAGGTAGCGCTGTATAGCCCTTGTGGCTTAGCGCTTCTTTTTGATTATAATAATAACCCCTAAAGGTATCCTGTTTTAAGGATCCCTAATTCCGATGGCCGTTATACGCATCCCCTTTCTGGGACACCTAAAATCCGACAAAATAATCCCATTTTTGGGATACTTACTATTAAAAGTTTAATATAAATTTAAAACGGAGATAAAAAAAAATAAGTAAATTTAGCATAGATAAATCATAATTATTTAAATATATAATTAAACTGACCTGTTTAATCAAGCCATATAACAGGTCAGCTGATTACTGTGAAGAAAACTACAAGACTTACGCAATAATTAACATAAAATCAAGTCCTTAACTACAGAATTACTTAAACACACACAATTATACATATACAATTCCCAAATATAGCTGAAATAACTTTAAATAATGAAAAATTGAATATCAGAAATAAATAACGGGTTAATACCTCAATATAGAGTGTAACAAAGAGAAAGAGAATATAGTTTCTAGTGTGAATATAATTTTTTTTGTAGTGAGGAAGATTTTAGCCGCAGTTGCCTGAGTCTCCCCGGCACCGCCATCTTACCGTGAGTGTCTCTCTTATTACTCTATTTTACTCTTTATTTCTTGATTTTGAGTTGATCTTGGGGGTCCTGGAGACACTTGAGGGCACCACGGAGGTTGTAATAACCAATATGAAGCTCCAAGACCCTGGAGAGATGTGCATTTTGTTAAAATAACAGTGGAAGCCGGTGCACTGCCGGCAGCTCTCCTCTACTGGACTAGTTTTTACCCATATATCAGTCAGTAGGTTGTTCTTGATGCTGGCGAAGGATCTTGATACAAGGAATTCGAGGTATCCTATTCGAATAAAATCTGATTACCTCCCAGGCAGTATTATAACACTGACGGGTTTAGCGTTTTTCCACTAAATGGTGATAAAGACCCCAGTGGAAATAAGTCACTGTTTTGGGTTATCCTGCTGTATGACCCTTGTGGGTTTAGCGCTTTCCTTGATTATAATCCCCTCAAAGAAGGTTTCTTGACGTGGTGAGGGGCTCTTCATCTAGGGAATTAGATCTGTGCTCCAGTTCCCTGAATACCTTCCATGCCCTCCACAGGCGCTGCATAATCCTACGGGTTTAGCGCTCCCCCTCGATTATAATAATTTTATTATAATAATCATTGGGTTTTCATAGGTTCTCTAAACATGCTGGTATGTACATGATAATCTATGTAACTGTGTATACCTGAATAAACTGGGTATATAGTGAGCCCAGGACTACTTGTTGAGGTTTATTTAGGTACAGGTACACCTAAGTACAGTGTTTGTGTAAATTACCAAGGATAACCCCAAAGAAAGTCAAGATATTGACAGATTTCCATTAGGGTCCTTGTGTCTTAAGTTAAGCCTGGCTGTAAGATTTCTACTATCATATAGTTAGGCTTTAAATAACAAGATATTACAAGGACCCTAATGGAAATAAGTAACTGTGGCTAAATAACAGAAAAAGGCACAATACCGTGACTGGAATGATACACAAATAACCTGCACATAGAAGAGAGGAGCTTACCACGACATTTCAGTCCGACTTGGACCATTTACAAAGTCACACTGACATTTTTTTTTTTTTTTTTTTTGGGGGGGGGGGGGGGGGGGGGTTATCCTGGATAATTTACACGGTTATTACTTATAATTGTAGTTGTGTACCTGTACCTAAATATTTACTCAAGAAAACTTTTTTAATACTGTGAGGGGCTCTTGATTAAAGTAACTGGAGTTATATTTCCTTTCCTTCAATTAAATTTTAAGCCTTATTAGTGGCCTTAAATGAATTGTATAATTATTGGCTTTGTTTTTGTGCCTATTTTACTTATTCATTTACCCATATATTTATGTTCTATAGCTCAAAGAAATACATCATCATTAATGCCTCTCAAATCCCAGGTAATATATGGCCCCTATGGGTTTAGTGCTTTCCAATGGAAATAAGTCACTTTGATTTTTTTTACTTATCCTAAGTTATTTACATATATTGCTATTTATCATAATTGTACTTGTGTGTACTTGTACCTAAATAAAATTACTTTCCCTGATTATTTTAAAATGGTAAGGGAATTCTTGACCCAAGAAACTGGATGATAATAATAATAATAATAATATAATAATAATAATATCTTTATTTACTACAAGTACATGTACAACGTATACAGTCCTAGCTGACAACAATGACATACTACTATATAGAAAGTCCCTTGTTATGCTCCGCATTTTGGGCAAATTAGGCCAGTGTCCCAGGATGCGACCCACACCAGTCGACTAACACCCAGGTACCCATTTTACTACTGATGGGGAACATAGACAACAGGTGGAAAGAAACACGTCCAATGTTTCTACTCTGGCTGGGAATCGAACCCAGACCCTCGCCGTGTGAAGCGAGAGCGTTAACCACCAGGCCTCCTCTTTCTTGGATTAAACCTGAATGTTTCCCACTCGCTCGTAAAGGACCCCAATGGTAATAAGCCACTTTGTCTAACTTTTTTGGGTTATCCTAGGTTCTCTACACATATGCTGCTATGTATGATAATCTCTGTAACTATTTGTGTATACCTGAATAAAATTACTCGTGCACTGTATGACCCATGCATGATTACTGATCTTTGAATCCTTTAATTCATAAGTTCTGCAGTGCTGAATGACCCTTGTGGGTTTAGCACTAAATCTTGAAAATAATAATAATTTCTGCTTTAATTAATATTAATATGCTATTCGCAGAAAATGTTCAGCAGATTGTGGGATTCGGCAAAGAACTCGCCATTTAGCCATCCCTTTGAGGCTCATTGTGATGCACCAAATAAGGAAATTGTTCTGCCAAGAAGGATATCTGCAGCTGACGGAGGTATGTGCCATGTACAGTATTATGAATCATATTTAAAATTGCAGTGTCTTAAGTTATTTGTCAGATTGCCAGATTTATTATCATATAGCTGAAAAATAGCTAGACAAATTGGCAAAAATCAATTATTTCTGCTGCTCAGAACTCATTTTTAAGCTATGTCTATTCCTAAAGACAACCAAAATAATCTGTTTTAGTAGTTTGTCATCTGTTCTACCAAATGATACCAAATAATATCCAGTGAAACCATGAAAACCATCTGAGAAAACACCTCAAAGTAGCTATTTTAAACCATAAATGTGGTTGGAGTTTTGCCTTTCCCGTCATGTGCTGTGTGGGGTAAAACTTTTTTTTTTATACTATGCACACTTGCTGTGCAGACCCATTCTCATGTCTTAGACCAAAATTTATTGCATACAGCTTATCGGAATGAACTGAGTTTGACAGAATTACGTGAGGAACCCTGATCTCACTGACGTAGTTCTATGTGATGGCCACTGAAAGGTTTAATGTTCACTTGAGCCGATTGCTTTGTGTTCTTTCAATCACTTCTCGAGAAAAGTGATTGGGAGGTTATGAAATTACTATGTATTAATATGCCATTTGTTTATTCATATGCATAAATGTATATTGCTGTAAATACAACTGTTTAAATAAATACTGATATAAGTGTTAAAAACAGCAGGTTACTGAATCATCAAATGAATATTATTTGCAGAAACATACAGTTGTGAGTATGGATCAGGAAAGTTTTATTTAATGTGCGCTTTTGGTGGACTCTTGAGCTGTGGCATCACTCACACAGCAGTAGTACCTCTCGATCTTGTTAAATGCAGGATCCAGGTTAACCCTGCCAAATACAAAGGAATTTTCAATGGATTTAAGGTAAGTTATATGATTTAACAGTGATTTAATGCATTACATTATTTTATCTTGAGTATGTGTGTTATTAAGCATCATTGAAAAACTTTTTTATTATTTTTCTGTTTTTTGTATTTGGGTAAAATGATTTATTGTAATGGGTAACTATAGCAGTAACTTTCTTATAGTGTTAATGGTGGTACGTATTTTTCTTCATCTTTCTTATTCTGCCAAAATCATTTAGAATAAAGAACTTGTAAAATTGTTCATATCAGCTTCTTGAGAAATTTGTTTTTGATGTAACTTTTTGTATTAGGTGGTTAAAAATTTATTTAAAAATGTACTGCATTAAGCGGATGAATTTTTTGCCATGGATAACTCTGCTGCTATGTGAAGCACTTTAATGGAAAGTGTGTTAGTACTTTATATAAATTCTCTTGTGAACATTAACCCTTAAACTGTCCAAACGTAGATCTATGTTTGCGCGCGTAGCGCTCCAACCTAGACTTTCTCCATAAGAAACAATGTAAAAAAAAAAAAGTAGATCTACGTTTGGAGCACTACGCGAGCAAACGTAGATCTACATTTGGACAGTTTAAGGGTTAAAAGCCATGCTGAAAGAATTTTTAAATCTAAAATTTTCTTTAAAATCAGAAAAGTTTATATTTCAGTTGTCAGCCATGTCAATTGTTTTATGTAAGATTTTTTTTTTTCAGAAGAAAATATGGCTGTATGATTTTTTTGTAGGGTAAAAAATTCTACATTTTTATAGAGAGAGAATCCTGTCAAGGAATTACAGCCATCCTTCCCTTCCATTGAGTGATTTTTGATACTTTTAAATCCTCAAGTGCTGTATGACTAATGGGTTAAACACTTCCCCATTAGCCCTTTGAGGGCCCAACCTGTAGATCTACGTCATGAGCTCAACTCGTTCACATAAGCTGTGAGCAATAAATTTGGGCCTAGGTGAGTGTGTGCCATATAAAACAAATCCTGTAGCACACTGCAAAACGAGAAAAAACTGGTACCGTGTTTCTGGATTAAAACAGAGAATTGTACTGTATTTTCATATGGTTTTTACAGTTGTATTCACGGTTTCTTGGCCTCATTTGATAGAATGGAAGATATATTACAGAAATAGAGATGATTTTGATTGGTTTTAGTACTTAAAATAGCTTGAAATTGAGCTCAAAGTAGCAGAAATGCTTGATTTTTTCCGATGTTCAAGAGTAAATAAATGACGTCACACATCCCATACACATCAACTGGTGGGTCTAATATACGTTCATGAATGTGCTGGTGTTATTTATACAGTACAATTATTACAATATTGCATAACAGTAAAATCTTCTATTTTTTGGTGTGAATAAAAGTTTTGTGAAAAAAAAAAAATCAAAATGGAATTCATCTGTAAAGTCTGGAAACAACTGATAAACAGAGGAAATGTTATTTTAGTGCCAGGAATGCCTGCATTGTTTATTCTGGACCCTATTTTGAAATTGGAATATTTTGAATTTGTGTGAAATTGGCCAAATGACCAATTTCTGATCACTTATTGGGTTGTTGAAATACATAGTTGATTGGGCAGTTTCTTGTGCTCAGTTGATAAGTAATACTAGCGAAATAGGTAAGAATTTGGTAGACAGGAATAATGTAACTAGCCTAAAATAGGAGTGGGCAGAATTGTTGATGTGTAAATATCGCTGACGCAGTAAAAGTTGTGTGTAATTTTGCCAGTTTTTCGTCAGATTTCATACTTTTTGTTTTATTACCTTCAGAAAAAAGATTCTGTACCATTTCATAAGAAAAACAATTTTTTTTTTAATTCTTGGACCCTCAAAGGGTTAATATTTATAATATAGAAAGGGCTGCAATTAAAAGAAAACTTTCAGTTTAATAGAATTTGAGAAATGTAGAGAAATTCTAACTAATAGTGGCTATAAAGTAGCAACCTTGTGAAGAATGTCACGGTATCATGGCTGGAACAATTCATAAATAACCTACACTGGAGAGGAAACTTAGTTGTTTCAATTGGTCCCGGACTTGATGATGCTCCATGACAAACTGAAATGTCAAAAGTTACCTCTTAAGTGTAGGCTAATTGTAAACAAGCTGGTATTGTGCCTCTTCTAGTTTACATATTATCTAAAGTCCATTGGCTCTAGACATTACTAATAGTGTTAAAACAATTTTTGTCATTACTGGAATACACTAGCACTCATTTTGTAATATATCACTTCTCAGGTGTCTATCAGAGAGGAAGGTTTTCGTAGCCTGGCAAAGGGCTGGGCTCCCACTTGTATTGGCTATTCCATGCAAGGCATCTGTAAGTTTGGTTTCTACGAAGTCTTCAAGATTTTGTATAGTAACCTCCTCGGGGAAGAAAATTCATACCTCTACCGCACTTCCTTATATTTAGCTGCATCAGCTTCAGCAGAATTCTTTGCTGATATTGCACTTTCTCCTATGGAGGCAGCAAAGGTAAATATATTTATATTTTTATTTTGTATTTCTTTCTGGGTTACCCTGCCTCGGTGAGAAATGGCCGACTTGTTAAAAAAAAAAAATTGTATACTAATTTTACAGTAGATTTGCTTGTTCTTAAAAATTTAATATTGCCTTTTCTGCCAAGGCAAAGTAAGGTAACAAAGAATAAAAACACATCACAGACCAGGCCGCGGGGGCATTGATCCCCAAAATCCTCTCCAAGTATAGGTATGCCCACAGCTATCTTCCAAATAGTTTTTTTCTTTTTTTTCCAGTGGTGACCATTTCCCATCAGTCTCAAAAAAAAAAAAAAATACTCATTAACCCTTTACACACATATATCTGCATCATTGAGGCCAGTGTTGCTTATGTAGAGCTACATCTTAATCATAGTGCCCTCCAGTATGCTGTGACTGGGTGTGCACAGTATAATGAAAAAATACTGCCCTGTGCAGTTCATGATGAGAACAGCTAACCTCTGACTTTGTGTTTAGGTTAAAACTATGACTGAGGCATTCTAAGGCAGTTATCATGGTTTTATTGACTGTTTCTTGTTGGCTGATGAACAGAGGACATACCAGTGATATGGAGATGATTTTAGTAATTTTGAGATGGGAGGTGGCTTGAAATAATCCTCAATTTTTGGCACTTTTCTTGAGGAAGGATGGGGAGAACCTCCCAATCCAAGCCCAAGAACAGTACGAAGATGGGAATCTTAATCGTGGTTTGATAAAAAATAATTTGTTGGTCTTAACCCGGACCAACATTGTTGCCACAGGTTATGAAGTTCATGAGAGAGCACTGAAAAATAGTCTGTAAAGGACTGCTGTGAAAATACTGGCAGACTTGTAAATGACCTAAAGCTATTCTTTCCAGAAAAACAGCTGCGTACCCTCACCATTGATATTTAAAACCATCAGTGCACATGGCTGTATCGTGAAAATGAGATTTAAAGTATTCAAGAAAGAGTGAGTACAAGGTTGTAGGAGGCAAGTGAGTTTTTGGGCATGGAATTGGGGAAGATCAAATTTAAATCGTAACTTCCCATGGAGGGAGGGAAAAAACAAGATGCAGGGGAAGATAAAGGTGAGGTATATTAAGTGATGTCAGAGCACAAATAGAGAGGAAAGGGGGTAAATAAATGAGTCAATAATTAAATAAATTGGCTTTACTTACATCCATAACCATTGTGTGAAAAGATTGTGAAGGAAAGCTGACAAAACCGAGACAGTGGGTATTGCCTCGATCTTGCAAGGACAGGACATTTACTTCTGTATAAATGGTGAATGGGATTAAGCTTAGAAAGAATAGTAGAGGAAGCCAAAGAATATAGTTGGTCTCCATAGGCTAGATAAGATTTGGGTTGAATGTAGGCAAAGAAAGGTTTGTTTATACGCCCCTATCCCCAGGAAAAAAGTGGGCTAAAGTTTAAGTAGGTTTAGGCAGCTGTGACAAGCAGCTTTCATAGAAGTTATGAGAGGCTACAGGAGAAGGGGTTACTAGCCTCTTGCTTCTGGCATTTTAGTTGTCTTTTATGACATGCATGGCTTACAGAGGAAGAATTCTGTTCCACTTCCCCATGGAGATGTTTTATTTATATATTAAACTGTCATATCTGAGCATCTGTACAAAGACAGTGATTACATATGAGTGATGGTAGAAAATGGCTGACATGTTAAAAAAAAAAAATTTAATTTATTAGGAGTTGGAGTTGGTACATTTTTACCGACTCCGACTCCAGTAACCCAAGAATTGCTTACGACTCCATGACTCCAACTCCACAGCCTTGTTTTTAACCTGTGCTTCACTCAAACTCTTGCATGTTTATAATATTCCTCTTGATGTAGGACCTCCAGCATTCTTTCATAATTTAATCACTTTTTCTTAACATCAGTACTACAGTCATGCTACTTCACTCCCAGGGGTGCTCGGCCTGAAGATAGTGCATGGATTGCACTCATAGTATGCAGGCTTGAAGCATGGTCTTCGAATGTTGCAATGAGGAAGAGGTTGGAGGCAGTTGCAATGTCAAGTTTGAGATCAGTGTGAGAATAAGAAACAAAAATTAGAAGACTGCAGTGGTATAAAAGGTATAATTCTGAGAGCAGTGGATGGGGTTGAGATGATTTGCTTATTTATCATTTATAAAGGATGAAGCAAGAGAGGTTGACAAAGAGGGTGTATAAACCCATGGTGGGGTGCAGGAGAGGTAGGAGACATTTCAGGAAGGGTGAGTGAGGGCTGTTTCAAGTGGTAGGAGCTAGAGTATCCAGCAAACTTTTATTAGTGTGTTAAATCAGAATGGAGCTGAATGTGTTTTGGGATCAGATGCTTTGTTACTGTTAGCAAGGAACAGTGAAGGGTTCCAAGGAAGTTGATTAGCCACACTTGAGTTCCTAAAATGAGAAGAGCTTGCACTTTGGAGGGGATAAATAATATGAAGGGTTATTTGAATTGTGATGTCTGTACATGTTAAGCAGAACAGTTATTGAATGAGTAATTGTGAACATTCTTCCATTGGGTTGCCCTATCCTGGTGGCAATTGGTGGATATGATAAGTAAAATTTTTTTTTTTTTTTTCCAACACACCGGTCGTATCCCACCAAGGTGGGGTGGCCTAAAAGGAAAAATGAAAGTTTCTCCTTTTACATTTAGTAATATATACAGGAGAAGGGGTTACTAGCCCCTTGCTCCCAGCATTATGATAAGTAAAAATTAATTATTTTTAATTTAATTTTCTCAGGTACGCATCCAGACTCAACCTGGTTTTGCATCAACTTTGCGTGCTGCAGTCCCCATCATCTATGGCCAGGAAGGCTTGTGGGGTTTCTACAAGGGTGTAGTGCCTTTATGGTGTCGACAGATTCCCTACACAATGATGAAGTTTGCATGCTTTGAACGCACAGTTGAGGCCCTCTACCTGTATGTTGTACCAAAGCCTCGTGACGAGTGCAGCAAAAGTGAACAGTTGGTGGTTACCTTTGCTGCAGGTTACATTGCTGGAGTTTTCTGTGCTATAGTGTCTCATCCTGCTGATACCATTGTGTCGAAGCTTAATCAAGATAAAGGATCGACAGCTGTTTCTGTTGCAAAACAGCTAGGCATGGCAGGTAAAAAGACTACAGTAGTTTTTAGTATTGTTTTTTATGACATTTGTTAAAAGAATCATATTGGAATCTTAACAGTATATCTGTTATGAAATAACCAAGTTGTATTCATATGCATTGAAGTGCATTACACAATATTTCTTATTCCTAGCATAGTAGTAGTATGGAACTAGATAGTCCATGCAGGCTTAGCATTTTATGAGTGGTAGAATAAATATTAGTCAAATTACAAAATGCTTTTGTTTACAGGATTGTGGAAGGGCCTGTTCCCACGTATCATCATGATTGGTACCCTGACTGCTCTTCAGTGGTTCATCTATGACGCTGTCAAAGTAGCCTTCAAGCTACCACGTCCACCACCACCAACAATGCCAGAATCACTCAGATTGAAGCTGGAAGCAAAACAAGCTTAAGCTTATAATATTAATAAAAAAAAGCATTCCGTACATGGATCCCACATTTGTTAAACTTCCTACAAGGAAATTGCTACACAAACTGCTGAATTTCTCTAGGATGAGTTAAGTCTAGATACTCATCACTAAAGATGTTTAACATTCAAGTCTAAACTGATAAGGTTATTTAAAATCTGTTCCAAAAAATTTTGTTAGTTTTAAACTTCAATGTGCCATCTTGCACTTTTTTGAAAAGCTACTTTGCTACTTGCTCTGTTACCGGGGTGAAAAATTGATGACCATTTATTGTGCCTAGTAGCTTTGAGATAATATTTTAGCAGTGAAGACGAAGTATTGAAAAACAAATTTGGTTAATTTTTACATCTAAATTGTAATTTATACATTTCTGAATGTCTTGTAAATAGTAAGGTAACATTGTATAAAATGAAAATAAACTTAACTAAGTTTTAACTATTTTTTTGTCCAGCAATATTGACGTTTCTTTGGAGGGTATAAATGATTTTTAATCAAGTTAAGCTCTAAACCTGAGAGGGTCATACAGTGCCACAAGGTATGGATGTGTGAAGGATAGGAGTGAGGGGCAGAGATATGTGACAGTAGGGATATATGGTGCAATAAGTTTAGTTTTAAAGTCTTGTCTGCTTCAAAGGTGGGACTTTCAGCAAGGATGGGTGGATTTTCAGCTATTCTGATGCTAGCACCTTCATGAACGCGTCCACAGCAACAGCGGCCCCACACTCTGTGTGCCATTGTTCATCAGCCAGTGAGCATGAGCCCACTCGCTCATACGATGCATTTCGTATTATTCCAGTCTTTTTAGTGCTTGCAACTGCTAAATAAGACACCATGGGTGCAAAGAAAGTTCCTAGTGCCAGCCAGCCCTTTCGTAAAGAGCTGAGAGAGAGGGGAGAAGGTGCCTTTTTCAGTGATTCTGCAATATGTACGATACGAAAGCAGCAGGAGTTGATAAAGGCTATAGCACCAGCCAGCAATAAAGTGTAGCACTAACAGTGTAGCAAGTAAGTTAAGCGATTAATCGATAGAAAAAGGACAGCACGAAACTGACTCCTCCATTGTTGTTGGAGGTATATAGGGCTACTGACACTGCCGCCTTCACCACCATGTAAGGCTTATCTTTCACTGGCCCTTGTACACCACAACAAACACACCACCACTTGTGACATTCTTAATTCCATATTTTATTCATTCTAGAGTATATATCATGTTTCTAAGTTATTAACCCCTAAACGGTCCAAACGTATATATACCGCTAGCCCCCAAACGGTTTTATTTTTCATGCCTCCAAATTTGACACGATTGGCCTGAGATGCCTGGTCAGCATAGACTGGATCTTAACACTCCCCTTTTAAGAGGAAAGTGATGTTGACCCAAAGTTTAGTGGCTTTGAGGTGAATGTGGCCACAAGTGGTTGAGGAAATATCAAAAACCTCGACAAAAACCCATGTGCAACATTTGTGCAACACCCTTTAAAGTGCAGGCATTGTACTTCCCATTTCCAGAACTCGAGTCCGGCTAACTGGTTTTCCTGAATCCCTTCACAAAATATTACCCTGCTCACACTCAAACAGCTCGTCAAGTCCCAAAAGCCATTTGTCTCCATTCGCTCCTATATAACGCTCGATCACTTTTGCTGGAAGTCCAAGCCCCTTGCCCACAAAATCTCCTTTACCCCCCTCCCTCCAACCTTTTCGGGGATGACTCCTACCCCGCCTTCCTTCCCCTACAGATTTATATGCTCTCCAAGTCATTCTACTTTATTCCATTCTCTAAATGACCAAACCACCTTAACTGCCCCTCTTCAGCCCTCTGGCTAATACTTTTTGTAACTCCACACCACCTAATTTCCACACTACAAATTCTCTGCACAATATTTACACCACACATTGCACAACATCTCTGCCTCCAGCCACCACCTCCAATTTTGGGAGTGAAAAACTAAGTAAATTTTAATCCTTTAATAAAATTATGAAAAGTTGAAATTATACACAAAATAAAAGCTCAAATGGATTTAAATAGAGGAAATACACAAAAAATTAGCAAAATATTAATTCATAGTTCAAACCAAACTGTTTCATAAAGTGAAGCCTTTCAGTAACTGTCAGTGTCAATAATTCTCAACTAAAAATTTAATCAAAATTTCATAATCCTGATGGTACTTGCATCCTTTTAATTTTTGCAAGTCCAGTACAATAAATAACAATTATAAATATAGAAATAGTCTTTACTTTTTTCCTTGTTCCATTGTTTCTGACCCTGTTACTTTACGATGGAAATAAATGGTATAAAATACCGACACAATGGAAATATAAACACACATGCAGTATGTGATCCTTTATTGACTCCGTTTTGCCCACACAGTGGGCTTTTTCAAGTCACAAACAGATCTGTTTGTGACTTGAAAAAGCCCACTGTGTGGGTGAAACGGAGTCAAAAAAGGATCACATTATACTGCATATGTGTTTATATTTCCTTGTTACTTTACATTTTGCAGATGCAGTATGACCCATATGGGTTTAATGTATCATCACTAATGCCTTTCATAAATTATTGGCCCAAAAACCTTCAGGCTTCTACTAGGCTTTGTCAGTAACTGATTTGTTATCTGTTGTACTTCTTTGTCATTCTACCATCATTATGTAACTACAAAAATAATCCAGATTAATTCCCTTTCTATCTAACTCCAGTATATATTTGTGGTTGCCATATCTAGTTTCAATATGACAGCCACATAAGTCTGTGGCTGTCTTATCTAGCTCTAGCATGACACTATAAGTTTGCAATTGTTCTATTTATCACCAGTATAATACCTCATAAATTTGTAGTTGTCCTATCTAGCTCTATAGTGGCACCTACATAAAAGTATGAGGCTGTCTAATTAAAACAATTTTAATAATATACAGTTATACACCAACAACAGTACAAAATAAATTATTACAATACTTGAATTACTGTACTCTGTCTGTCAAAATAAAATGTTGAGAATACAGTTTAAAGATATGCAAAGGACAGTACTATTTCCATATAAATATTGCAGTGGCTATATAAAAAGCCAATTTCATCAAACATGTCATTTTATTCACAATATATTTTGTAACTGTGTCAAATAAATTATATTAAGAATTTGGAATGAAAAGCCATCAATATATAAGTCATATAATAATTCTAATTCTGGAAAAATAAATATTCAGTTCTTATTATTTTTAAACAAAGTATTGTTTGGGTATCAGCATGGTAATGTCTTCCCTGAATACCTTCATGGATAGCTCCATGCTCACACTGTCAAATCCCTAAAACCACTATCCTTCACTCGCCCAATTTAACATTCAGCACCCTACCTCCAACTTTTCCTTGAAAGTTGTCTATATCGTGCATCTAACCTGGATTTTTTGCACCCTGACCATTCTATTTTGCTTCTTTCTAAATGACCAAACCATCTTTTAGAAACCCTCGTCCTCTGTCTGAATTATGCCTTTCATATCACTACACCATCAACTTCTCTAATATTTATAACATATATTGATCTATATATACACACCCCTTTGGGTTTTCTTTTATTTTCTTACTAGGTCTTTTAGTACTATTATTTGATTACTATTTCTTACTAGGTCTTGTTCTTGTTTAATTCCTTTTATCTCCATGGGTAAGTGAAACAGAATTCTTAGCCTGTAAGCCATGCGTGTCGTAAGAGGCGACTAAAATGCTGGGAGAAAGGGGCTAGTAACCCTTTTCCTGTATATTACTGAATTTAAAGAGAGAAACTTTCATTTTTGTTTTTGGGCCACCCTGCCTCAGTGGGATAAGGTCGGTTTGTTGAAAGAAGATATTGACCTAAATCAGTGTTCACTGGTTCTAGCAAACTAACTCGTGTAAATATTTAGACCATGCCTCGCACACAAACAAAACTATTGGTGCCATTAAATTCAAACGCATTATTTTTCTTCCATTCATTAAAAAAATTTCTTTCCACAGACACCTCAGCATTCTTGGTACCGTTTGTCCCTTGTCTATTGTGTTTCACTTTAATGGCCCATCTGCCAACATATACACCCTTATGTGTATGTAAATACGTTCACTTCCTCCAAACCACTTTCCTGTCTGACTTCTCTCATAACCTATGTTGGTACTTGACCTGATCATCTTGCTCATTTTATGTGTACACTTTCAATATCCTTTTGCACATCTTTCCAAACACCTACTGGTTTCTCTTCTGAATATCCCAATGACAATGGGTCACTGGCAAATAACTAATATGACACTTCAAACTTACCTTCTAAGACCACACCTTTTCACAGACATTTGTCAATATATACTCAACTGTTATCTCTCCAGAAGTATGCTGACATCACAGATTACCCCTCTGATTGGAATATCCCCCATCCCTCCTTCAGTGCAGGCGCTGACACCTCCAGGACTCGATTCCAGCTAACCAGTTTCTCTTAATCCCTTCATAAAAGTTACACTGCTTACACTCCAACTGCATGTCCATTAAAAAACCACTTGTTTCCATTCACCCCTATGTATAACACACACAAACTTGCTGGTTGCTCAAACCCATATAACTCAATCTTTTGTCCCCTCCAACCATTCCTGGGATGACCCCTACATACGTACATAACCATATTTTTCAAATATGAGATGTGCAACAGACTAGTATAATCTAGCATATAATTTAAAATTTTGTAGAACATGTTCCAAAAGAATGTTATTAAGGGTACTAATATATCTGATTTTATTTAAAAATTCTTCTTGTAAATGAAGTGATCTGTCAGTTTAGATACTGTATATGCATTGCTTATGACAAAACTTGCATATACTTTAGAAACTAATATAAAATTACTCTAATTATAAAACATCACAAATTTAACGATGCCTATGATATTAGTACTATAGTAAATCATCGATTATCTGGTGCTGTCCGGGAGAGTGCATTAGATTTTCAGAAACGACATATGTTATTTTTATGGTCCGTATGGTATGCTCCTTCCTCTTCCTCATTATTAGTTCAGGTGCTCTCAGTGGAAATGACCGTGATAATGTTAAACACTAGATAAGCAATCACCGGATAATCGATGATCTACAGTATTTTCCTGAGTGTAGTGATCTTCGATATTGTAGCAACAGCTGGAAGAATAGGTGTCAGGATGGCAAAGTAACACAGTATGCAGAGTGATAATTTGCTCATTGTTCAGCTTCTCTTTACTATATACTTGATGGCTAATAACTGCCCGTCAACCAGGTTTTCAGTGTGTTAAGTTGTGCAACAACACATTACATTTCACCATCACTCTCCATCTCAGGCAGTGGATCTTCAACACTCCTGAAAAAAAAAAAAAGAGAAACCTTGAAAATATGCTTCCTAACATGATTTAGGTTTATGATTTTTTTTGTTGGTGGAATTAATTTTTGTTTTCAGATTTTTTCACAA